GTTATTCTACCTGTCGATGGCTGTGGTTTAGAAGAAGTTGCTCAATATCAAAGATATTTAGCACGAGAAGGATGTATTATCAAGATTTATTCTCTCAAAAGAAATGGTAAAGATCGCCCTGTACTCTACGATGGCACCCCTGAAGTGCTAAGTAGAAATATTCCTGCCCAATACACACTGCACATTGTGTATTATTCTGAAGGGAGGCATTATGAGCCCATCCAAAATTTACCGTCATTCTTCGGTGCTACATATTATTGTGGGGATTGTAATAAACCTTATACTACTCGGGGGCACGTTTGCGATAAAACTTGTGACAGATGCTTGAAGAATCCACCGTGCGACTCTGCAATTATTGACAAAATAGTATGCGACAACTGTAATCGAGAATTTTACGGCCAGTCATGCTCTGAACAACATAAAAAAGCAGGATCTTTTAGCGGGAATAATCCAACCGTGTGTGGTACAATAAAGTTATGCAATCAATGTAACGTCAAAATTGATCATCGGAAATCTCAGAATCACCAGTGTAACAAGTATTATTGCTCTGCATGTCAGAAGGACGAAGATATTTCTCATCTATGTTACATGCCTGTCTTGAAAAGTAAGAAAAAATTGACGAGGAAACGCGTGGCGTTTGTTTTTTATGACTTTGAGACGAGACAAGATGACACTATGGAAGGAGCTGATGACGTCAACATCCATGTACCAACCCTTTGCATCGCGCAAACTGTGTGCGACCGATGTGCCGACGCACGATGACGATATTGTGGGAATGGAAAAAAATCTCGCAAGCCCTTGTGATGTGTGTAAATCTCGAGAAAATGTATTTGATCAGGCGGAACATTATTTTAATGGATTTCGGGGATAACAAATTTATAGATAGTTTAAATTATTTCCACATGGCTGTAGCCAGCTTGCCAAAGGTTTTTGGGCTAGGAGACATAGCTAAAGGATATTTTCCACATTTTTTCAATAACAAAGAAAATCAGGACTATATAGGGCCTATGCCGGATGAGAAATATTATGGCGCTGATACGATGAATGTCCAAGCTCGAGAAAAATTCTTGGTATGGTATAATGAACGAGTCGCTGAAAACTATGAGTTTAATTTTCGAAAAGAAATTCTCCATTATTGCAGGCTTGATGTTACAATTTTGAGACGTGCGTGTGTGGAATTTCGTAAATTAATAATGCATGCTGGAAATGTTTGTCCTTTTACGGAATGTGTAACGATTGCCTCGACTTGTATGCGCATTTTTCAATCAAATTTCTTGAAAGAAAAACAAATAGGTATTATACCGCAAGGAGGTTATCGTTTAGGAAAGACACAGTCTAAAGTAGCAATTGAATGGCTTTTATGGCTCGAACACTGTGAAAATCATCGAATTGTACATGCAGGGAAAACTCGCGAGTATAGACCGGAAAAAGGACATCGTTTAGATGGTTATTGGAAAGATGTTGCGCATAATAGAAAGTATGCATATCAATTTCATGGATGCTTTTGGCACGGTTGTGCAAGATGCTTCAAGTTTAATAGAGATAAAGAGCTGAGCCACAAGGATACATTAGAGAGTCGTTATGAGAGGACAGGAGCAATTACTCGAGAATTGCAAAATTTGTCGTATGAAGTTGTCGAAATGTGGGAATGCGATTTT